GTTCATATTATATATATATATATATATATATATATATATAAAGTGAACATTGAAGTCAACATTTAGAGGCAACAGGCTGTTTCATGCTAGACGCAATCGTCAGGCCATGAGTCTTTTCTGACGTTTGCGTCAAGGATGTCGCCTCTAAGTGTTGACTACAATGTTCACTTTTACATTTACACACCCTATATCTCTGATTTTTGAGTACTTTATCCCATATATATATATATATATAGCACACCTTAAGATATATATATATATATATATATATATATATATATATATATATATATATATATATATATATATATAGAGAGAGAGAGAGAGATAGGCAGAATGGCTTCATTACAATATGACTCATTGAATAATTCAGACAAGTTTTGTTTACTTATTTTCAATAGGATCTTCTCATATTCAGGGACAAGTTTGTTAATATCCTTATTAAAAGAACAGAGAAAATTATCATGCTGATAAATATTCTTTTATACTGAGTTCTTTCGACATTACCACAATGTCATCATCAGGATGTTGTTTTGCTACGACACAAATTGTTGTGTACATCATTTTCCTAAGACATAAATTGTTGTGTTCATCTGAAAGTTATTTTTTTTTTTTACCTGTGAAGTGAAAAAACGATAACCGGCTCACTGTACGACTGAAATTTCACGATATTAAACGTCAGTGGAATTAACAAAATTATGAAATGACTAAATTTTTTTGTAACCTAGATATTTTAAACCAACCACCGTAAAAAATTATAATTGAATTGTAATTCATTTTTATTAAAAGTTGAATTCAATTTTTTTTATACAAAGAGCTTCAAGAATTTTAGTTTATGTTTATTTTTTCATGAAAATTATAAATGTATTTTCAGCAAGTAAATTGCGAATGTGAACAGGCATGACTTTGTAAATGTTGCAATATGTTTGATGCCTCATTGAAATTAAAACTCAACTGTCGAGAATATGAAAGGATCCTATTGAATATAAAAAGACAAAGTTGTCTAAATTATTCAATAACACATGTCTTAATATATGAAAAAGTGAAAATAGTTTACTTATACGTTTTTTCTTCCGGGTTTCATTGGTCCTGAAGGACGAAATACGGCACAAGTAAACTTTTTCCAATTTGTCATACAATTTCCCCAATACTGTTCTTGATATTTAAATATCGTTATCTCATATATATATATATATATATATATATATATATATATATAGATTGTGTGTATTTAGGCAGCATCTTTTCATTCATACACGTTTCATTAAATAATATAGACAAGTGATGTCTATTTATTTTATATAAAATAAATAGACAACACTTGTCTATATTTATTTAATAAAACGTGTATTAATATATATATATATATATATATATATATATATATACAAAAAAGTTTCACACAGAGAGAAATCAGACAGAGATTGGATTTTACTAATAATTCCATCTACAAACAGGATTCTCCTCAGCCTCAAGAACGACTGTTGGTGAGACTCCAACCAACTGACGATTGCGTCTAGCATGAAACAGACTATCGAATCTAAGTGTTGACTTCAATGTTCACTTATATATATATATATATATATATATATATATGAGAAAAATATAGTTTTAATGTATGCTATATTTATGGGTAAAAGTGTTCAGTATCATGGATAGTGACGAGCGTCTGCCTCATGCTTGAACGCAATCTGCAGACTATCTGGAAATTGTCTTCATGCATGAAACAGGCTGTCGCCACTCGGTGTTGAACTCAGCATCCGCTTTTATATAGACTCTCTGCATGCGTTGGCAAAGTATGTTCTGTAAGGCGAATATTATTAAAAACAACATTTTGTGTCGATTAATTTTAATAATCGACTTTTCTAAATTTCATATAATACTATTCAGATATAGAAGCAATTCCGTCAGAAATTGTCTGAAGTTCATTTCGGAAGAAAATTACAAGACATCTTATCCACGCTTTTGATTTTCATATGTCATCATCAAGGTAAGTAGATATTTACTTGACCCCCCACTGAGTCAGGATGTGACACAAGGTCAGTTTTTAAAGTGGGGAACCCGAATGTTTCCACTCGGGCCGCTGGTCTAAACCTGGTCTTAGCTGGTCATAGCTTGTCCAAGCTGGTCAGAGCTGGTCTAAGCTAGTCATAGCAGTGCCAGGTAAGTATCATCAAGGTAAGTAGTGAGACTTAGTAAGTTTAGTAGAACTAATGAGTGTTGTGACGTAGACAGAGTTTTGTGATGTCAGCGATGTGTGAAGCGTGTATTTTTTTATAAATATGCATCTAAGGATGTGGGTTCTTAAGTTATATTTATTTATTGAAAAAAGTTTGAACAAAGTAACTATAAGCAAAATTTTTTTTAATTTTAATTTTAATTTTTTTTTTTTTTGCTATCCTCTGCCAGCCGCAATGACGGAGAAAGTTTTACCTTGGACCATCGCCAGTGAAAAACGCTGAAAGAGCCACACCGTTTCTCGAAGCTCGTCCCTTAATCGAAACGCCATCGCGCCAACCCTCCGAAGAAACGGCATCGAAAGAGGGCCAATAACGCCAGAAGTCTCCCCTGCCACAGGAGTAAAAAAAAATCAACAGCAAGAGAAGCATATTTAAACAATTATAAATATATGTAAATTATAAATTATAATTATAAGGTGTAATTGTTTTTATTTATTGATGGTTGTTTTGTTGTATGGGCATTTCTTCATGAGCCATAAGTCTGTTTTAATATTTGATTTTAGTTGTGAGCCGGTGTCTAAAAAAGCTAAGTTTTCTATCTAAGAATCGACTTTTTCGACATACATTTTTGGTTAATTGAAATTTCTCGACAGGCCTTTTAGCAATCAGTACAAACTGTACCGGGACAATACCAGAGATATCTTGAACAACAATCACTGAAGATCTGTGTAAACAAAAAAATAAATAGATAAATAAATAAAAATAACAGCATGTTTCTTTCTTCAAAATCTATTCCTTTTTTAAGTTATTCCGGTATAAGTCCTATGCAATAATCTATTGATTGATTCACTTTCTACGGTTTATCAACTTTTCCCAGAAAATATTTTTAGCTTGTAAGAATTTTTTTTAAAGACAGTAATAACTTACTGATATAAATCTTAATAATTAATCCATATGTGGGGGAGAAGAGGCGGATTCATACCTTTCTTTGCACGTAAATGGATATAAGGAATTCGGATGTCTGATTAACAATTCTGAGCTATTATCCATTACATAACTTGCACATTCATGCTTACAGCACTTGGAATTCCGAAGCGATCATCTATCAAGGTACTGAACACGATAAACGTTGCTTAACATCGTTGATGCTATGGGAATCGGTATTCCAACGATATGCGGTCGTAAGTCACAAGGGCCACTCAAGTTAAATGGTTGCTGAATGAGATGTGCGATATGAAAGTAAAAGGAGGAAATAGAAAATGAAAATTATGAGTATACGTAGGATAGATAGCGAATGACCCTGGATTTGAAGACGGTGATTGTAGTATTCGATGAAGCATACACGCGGGAGTCTGTTCAAAAGTGTAGCGGTTCACTATAAACTTGTAATTAATACTCATTGTGTTTTAAAGGAATAAAGCGTCGCTTCTCACACCGGAGTTTGAACACAGATTACAAGAGAGCAAACAAAGCCAGTCCCATTTTGGCAAAGTAGATTACGTGATGATAAAGAAAATGTATATATGGGAATTACCGTGCCGTCTAAGGGATCTCTATCCGGATTACTTCCGAAGTGTGCTGGTCAAACTCTCTGCCTCCGGACAGAGAGAAAGCTAGACGAAGCTATACCGAAGGACAGAGTCTCGGCTGGGGTGATAGGCTGCTACCCAATTCCGTTTTTACGGGGTCTACGGGGAATTTTTGACCGAACCTACGGGCTCTCGGAAACGCTACAATAAACTTGGTGTGCCGCATCGGGCCGCGTGCAGATTACTTCGGAAGTGTGCTGCTCAAAATGTCTGCTTCCGGACAGAGAGGATCCCAAGACGAGGCAATGGGTGACACCTACCCGACCCCGTATTTTACGGGCAATTTTTAAACGCGCCTACGGGCTCGGGGAGCCCACTAAAAAAAAAGTGGCCTTGTGTCGCATCCAACCGCGTGGTGCTGTTAGTGAATATCTCACTATACGGATTACTAATTCCGGTCACTATTCGGTCGTAACTTTATGAGCGAGTATTATCGTGCAAGTACTGCAAGTGCGAGTGTTATACGGAGGTGTCTTACAGAAGTTATGCTTAACGGTATAACTATAGTTTCGATTACAAAATCTCTACTACAACGAGCATTACGAAAGTGACAACGAGTATTCGTTGATATTACAAAAGTGGCAACGAGTGTTCTTTGAAATCACGGAAGTTTGTTTTGATAAATTCATAATTATTCCTTTTGAAACATGTAAATCTGTGTTTTTATTTTTGCAGCTAAAAACGCATTTTACTGTGGACATTAATGGCGTAATATCAAAAAAATGGTACATTCGTTGGCAACCTAGAAAAGAAACAATATTGCCTTGTTCCTCAAGAGAAGCTCGTTAATAAGATGTTTAGAAAAATTATTTTAGTACTAAAGTATAATTTTAATGCTCTCAGAGAGAATTGAACCGACGATAAATGGAAGGATAATGGTGATCAGCATTCTAATTGTTACAGCTACACGGCCATTTAATCATTGTAAGACTGCTATCTCTGGATAGTATTTATTTTCCTTATAACGGAAAGCTGCGTGGAAGTTTGTATATTATATTGAGTAATGATAAAGAAAATAACAAAAGGAAAAATGAAGATTGATTGGCAAATACTAGGAAATGCGGAATAACAGGTGAAATCCTGGATAAAAACGCGGCAAAGAAGAACGACAGAAAGAATACAAGAGATTAGGGAAATTGTTGATAGAGAGTTTCTTATTGCGTTCATCCATATTTAATGTCATGTTTTGTTTTGTTCCGTTGTTTTCCATCTCCAAAACAATGCCTGGGCAATGATTTTTGATCGTTCTCTTTTACTCTCTCTCTCTCTCTTTCTCTTTATCTCTCTTTCTCTTTCTCTCTCACTCTCTTTCTCTCTCTATCACTCTCTGTCTCTTTCTTTCTCTTTCTCTTTATCTCTGATTCTCTCTATCTCTTTGTCTCTCTCTCTCTCTCTCTCTCTTTCTCTTTAACTCAGCTTTTTTACGGCCCTTTTATTTTTCTACTTCATTATTTTCTTCCTTTTTTTTCCTTCTTTCTTTTTTTTTTCTTTTTCTCTTGTGCCGTTCAGTAAAAACCAACAATAAATTAATAATCGTAAAATATATTTGCCATTTATTTGAATTCCGTAAATCATATTAGGCTTTTTTATCACCCTGCTCAATTATTTAGAGCATTTCATCTTCATTTGTTTTTGTCCCTGCTGTACTTCATCATTGTTCGCAACAAAATCATGCAGAGTCATTCTCGCTTCTCTCGTCTCTTTTTACTCTCATGTGTACGGGGAGCCGCTGAAAAGTTCTCAGTTTCACCAAGATAAATAATCTAGAGCCAAGAAAACTACATGATTACTGCATATTTCCCATACACTTTCACAGGTTGGGCATACCTTTTATGAATTAAAAAAAAAATACAAATGTGATATTTGATCACATTTTGAGGAGTAAATATGAAAGAAAACCTTTCGGGGCACAATATATATATATATAGTGGGGGGGGGAACAATTATTCGTACACATACAAATTTTTAATTTACTGTATTTCCAGCTAATGAATAAACACACTTTTCATATAATTAACTGTTCACAGATGCATAATAACTAAATATGCTTAAAAATCGAAATAAATCCCATTTCTACATATTAATGAGTTTAAAAAGTATCCATACAATACAAAAAAGAATATATAATCTTCATTTAATACTTTGTAGAATAAACATCATTCACTTCTAAACAACAAACCTCTTCTTGTAGTTCTCAATCAATGAATTGCAAATTTTAGTTAGTTATTTTGTTCTATTCTTATTCACATATGGTCTTCAGATCCAGGATGTTTGTTGGAGCTCTCGATTTGATTTGAATTTCAAATAACGCCACAGATTTTCGAATGGGTTTAAATCTGGGTACTGATCTGGCTATTTCAGGATATTTACATTGTTTTCAGAAGCCATTTCTTCGTAGATTTTGCAATGTGTTAGATGTTTGACTCGGGAGGAAGTTCAAGATTTTCAGCCGGAATCATTAAATTTTCTTTCAAATTATTTTGATATGCTGTGGCATTCATTCTACCATCTATTATTGGTATGTTGCCAGTGCCTTTTGCAGAAAAAACATCCCCAAACCAAGATGCTGCCACTACAAAATTTCACTTTTGGAACTGAATTCTTTTGTTCTTTCCTCCATACATGATTTCTAGAATTACCTTCCAAACAACTCCGTTTTAGTTTCATCTGTTCATAATACTCTTTCCCAATACGATTTTTCATTATCCTTATGTTCACAAACGAATTTCAATCTGGCCTCTCTGTCTTTTCAATAGGAGAGGAGTTTTCCAAGCGGAGCGAGACTTTAGATTATTCCTATGAATTTCATTGCTGATTGTCCGTTTAGTGACACAGATTTCTGATGAAAGCAAATCATTCTGCAACTCTTAACGAGGAACCATTGGATTTTATTTAATTTGTCGCATCAATTTCCGAGGAGATCTTGAAGAAATATTCCATGGAGCACCTGTTCTTCTTTGGTTTTCAACAGATTTTTTATACCTTGCAATAAATGAATTAATGCAGAATATCCAGGTGGTCTGAGATTTTCCTGTAACTTATACATTCTTTCCAGAGCTTAATTCTTTTTCGAATTTGTCAGTTCTTTACTTCTTGACATGAAGATAACCTTCTTGCACGAATATCAATTGCAGAATGATCTGTTTTGTATTTTTAGGCTAAAAATTGACTATTGGAAAATTCTAGAATAAAATGTTTAATATCTAAAAAAAAAAAAATTAAACTAATTGAGTTTCTTTTTCTAGGTTTTCAGATAAGTCTTTTAGTAAAAATCATCTAAAAGGGTTATTCAGCAAGAATGAGAACAGTTTAAAATCCTTTTGGATCAGCCCTGCTGTTTCTCAACTGAGCAATGGTGAGAGGAAAAAGATCATTCAGGCCTGGTACCAACATTCAACTCTTGCTTCCATCTTCAAAGCCCATTCAAGAACCATAAAGAGAACGGTGAATAAGTTTAAAAAAGAGGGAACAGTAGAGAGGAAAACTGAATCCGGAGATCACAACAGGACAATGGATCATCATTTCAACTTAGAACTAAAGAGACCAATTAGAAAAGATCCAACTCAATCCCTAAGACGCTTGGAACATGAGAGAGGAGTTTCACCTATGACAGTCCAAAGAGCAGCGAAAAAGACTTGAAATTGCAATCGTACGTAAAATGTGTGAGGCAACTTGTTACTCCAGTACAGAAAGTTACAAGGTTACATAGGGCGAAGGTCATGTTTAGTAAGTTGGAAAATGATCATGGAATATATATATATATATATATATATATATATATATATATATATATATATATATGGGAAAGATATGAACCCTCTTCTTCTCCCTCCAGATAGGGGAAAATAGCAGGACAGACTGAGTTCTATAGTCTTGGATGGCAACTGGTCTAGGAGAAGGACAACTCTGAAATCAAAACCTGCGCAGGGTCGTTTGGGGACCTTGTGGCGCGTAGTGCACCAGATCTATGTATTCGGCCCTTCAAAAAGTGTGGATGGTCCTGCACGAAATCTTCACCACTATAACCAAATATCATGTGCTGTTTTCGGGCTGTCGGTTTCCTGGGACCTGATCTGCTTGACCCTCATACGTCGAATTCGACAGGAGAGCTGAGTATATATATATATATATATATATATATATATATATATATATATATATATGTATGTATGCGTGTGTTTAACTTTATTTCAATCCTTCATGAGCTTCCAATCCTTAGCTATGATTAATTAATGATAAACGTCATTTTCGTTTATGATCGATTTCATCACGATACTTCTGTTAAGCATTTTTATTGCCAAAATACAAAGCACATGGCCTGAAATGTATGCTAAAACACGAAACAAACTGTTGACCTCAATATATCGATTGGCGAAGGCAGCTCAACATGAAAAAATCTGAGTCACATATGGCACTGCGGAGTGGGGAGTAAATATCCTCAGACAAGGATCGAGTTAAATATAAATTTTCGTAGAATTCCAAATTATAAGAAATAAATTCCTTAACAAAGAACTTATAGTAAGTATATATATATATATATATATATATATATATATATATATATATATATATATATATATATAATATATACTGTATATATTATCCCTCAACATCATGACTCAGGAGTTTCATACGGATACGCAATCTTCAAGCGCAGTTACTATCCCGTAGCAGAAGATTGCCTATCCACATGAAGCTCAGAGTAGTGGTTTTGTCGTGGGATAATATCTACATTCATTATTATATACCTAATAGCTCTGTTGTATAACATTGAACACTGTTTTTATAACACATGAGAAAAATATATGTACGTCAAAATATATGTACGTATACGTATGTTTGTAAAATACCCATATCCCTCTCTTCTCTCGCTCTCTCTCTTTTCTCTCTCTCTCTCTATATATATATATATATCTCTATATATATATATATATATATATATATATATATATATATATATATTATATTTTCCTGATACTGTCATTATATTTAAAGAGATCTATAACTTTACTGCCTATAATACTAGTGCAAAATATTGTTCACCTCACCAACTTCATATACATTTATTTTAATGATGGAACACATGATTTACATGGAATTAATATCTGGAGCTACTGAAGCCATTCAAAACATTTTTTGTAAGTCTGGGAAAGTCAACACTGCAGAACGTGAAGGATAATTATCTTGCATTGACGTAATGTCACTGCTGAGATGAGCCGTTACCATACAGACAACATTCGATATTCATTGGTTGAATATTTAGCGTTATTTTCGTCAGAAATTCATATTTTTTTCCCATAATACAGGATTTTAGCAAAATTATTGTAGTTTCATATTTTACTAATTTTGATTTAAATATCCTCTTCTTTTTATATATAATACGCCATACACACACACATACGCACACACACCCTTATGTGTGTGTGTGTGTGTGTGTGTGTGTATTTAGGCAGCAAATTCTCTTTTAGGTATGTCTAATTGAATAAATTACAGACATACGACTGCTAATTTTTAACAAAATCCGTTCATACTCACGAGTAACCTTTCTTGTATTGATATTAAAAATTAAGAGAAATGTGCTATGACTGTTTAAATTTCTTTTATTTTCATTTCCCAAGTACTTTCGATCGTCTTCCAAGATCATCATCAGGGGGGAAAGTGGTACAAAACTATATGTTTTTAGGGGTACAAGTCTTTATAAAAAAGCTGACTGTTGCTATCCATCACCATAATTTTTCATTATGTTTTTTAAATGCAAACGTCAGTCATGTATCGAAAGATAAATGATCGCCTAAGCGTGTATCACGCATTGCACATAAATGACTTCACTGGATTAAACGAAGATTACAATATAGTGCATATTACTTATAATGCATTCTTTCTTGCCTTCAATTTTGACGGCACGGGTACAATAGTTATAAATAAAACTTTGCAGTTTATCTGTTTTTTGGGTTATTTTTTTAAACCTCGGTCTCTGTTGGCCTATCTTCTTTCGTCTTTCTCGTTATTCTGTCAATTTACGTCATTCCTTTTGCTTATTTTCCATTTCCAAGTAGATTTCTCATAGTTCCTTTTTCTTTGATTTCTTCCACTAATTTAAGGAGAATATGACATCAAATGATATTTTCTGAGCTTTGGGAGGAAGAAGCTGAGAAATGTTGTGTTGTTACAAGTGGAATAGTCTAGAAAATGCCAGCCTTTACTTATACTGGTGAGAAACATTTATCTATTTTAGTTAAGGGCCTGGTCACTAAGAAAATGTATATTGTTCAATTTTACAGTAATCAGTGAATTAGAAATTCCCTTCAGTAGCAATTATGCAAATCGTTTTCCCATAGAACAATGATTAGGAACTTCCTCTCGCAAATTGCTATAATGAATTCTGTCTTCGCTGTTACAACTCGCAGGATTTTTTTGTCCTATCAAAAATTTACCTAGTTATTTAAAATTGGTATACCATATAAAATTCTTCTTTTCTTTTCAGAACTTATATAAATATAGGGACATTACTCCTAGGGAATTGTCACAAATGCACTAAGGACCTAAAACGTGGAAGTTTATTTTGGATTTCACCTATCCATCCAATCTTTCAAAATTCCCAAATTTTATAACCAATATGTTCTCCTGATCTGACACATTCCGATTACTTTGTACAGGATTTTTATATGGAAATACAGCGTAAACAAATCAGCATGCTCAGGATAACATCAGTGTTG